CTATAGGGGACCTGACCTCCCCTTTAATCAGACACTCCAGGTCTATGGATTGGCTTGTATCTGTAAACTGGGTGAAAGGTGGTAAATCTCTGCTGCGATGACTCAAGTCAGGTTTCTGGCTCCAGACACTGAGTTTTTCCTTCTAAGTAGTTTTTGTAGCATTTAATAGGCTGCCCATCTGTTTTATTCCTAGAGACACTGTAATCCATTAGCCACTGCCAAAAATCCTTGTGGGCCAAAACATTCTCTGCATTGTCCTCCACTGCCCATTATGGAACATATGTACACCTTGACTCCTGTGAGGTGCCACTGGACCTCAAGTCAGGAGCTCCCACCATCATAAACAGCCTCTAGGAACAGAGATTTTCAAGGATACGAGTCTCCTCTCAGCAATTTACTTCTCAGTGCTTTCATGAAAGGTGTGTATTCTGTGTACTCTTAAAGGATGCAGTAGGTGGGTGGGTGTGCAGGTTGCATGTAATAAATCCAGTCCAATATTTCTATCTTTCTGAGCATTCAGATTCCTTCCTCATCATGCCAGGAAAGTTCTAGCACCTTAACCTTAATACATATAGGCCACCACTGAGTCTAAATTTCAGCCAACCAAATCTGAGTTAGTACCTTAGATTCAGACTTTCCTAAGAACACACTCAGAACAATAAATTTTATCTGGGGCACCTGGATGGCTCAGTAGGTTAAGTATCTGGCTCTTGATCTCAGCTCAGGTCTCAATCTCAAGATTGTGGGTTTAAGCCCCGCATTGGGTTCCACACTGCATGTGGAACCTACTAAAAATTAAATAAATAAGGGGCACCTGGGTGGCTCAGTGGATGAGCGTCTGCCTTTGGCTCAGGTCGTGATCCTGCGGTCCTGGGATCGAGTCTCACATTGGGGTCCCACAGGGAGACTGCTTTTCCCTCTGCCCTTGTCTCTGCCTCTCTCTGTGTCTCTGATGAGTAAATAAATAAAATATTTTTAAAAATAAATAAATTTTAAAAATAAGTAAATAAGTAAACAAACAAATTTTTATCTGATTTAGTGTTACATTCTATCCTTCCTGGCCTAACCTACTTATAATCCATTCTCACACATATTTCTCCTTACCAATGATACAAATTAGCAAAATCTTGCAAATCTTAGAGGCTAGGCTCTTTCCAACTGGGTTGGATTTTTGTCCCTGTCCTTTGGAGCAGGAAGAGATCTGGGCTTCGCAACAGGTTATAGAGATAGGTCTTGAGTACAGATATCCTTTGCAAAGCATTTACTCTAGGCAAGGTTATTACAGGACCTCCAAGCAAGGGAGGGCCGTTTTTCCCAGACATGGAAAGCAAAGCAGTCTGCTTCCATGAACAAGGGAGAGTCAGAGTGACTGGGATTTCAAGATTCTCAGCTTTAGCCACGTCAATGTAGATGTTCCCATTCCAAGTCTCAGGGCCCTAGTTCTTTCCACTCGGTGTCCTAAATGAGACATCCATAAAGTTGTATAATTCTATTATGCACAACTAAAATTGTACAATGTTTAGTTCTGTGGCTGTATGAAATAAAGTGCTTTAGAACTACAGAACCTCTCTGATTCTCTAAAGAGTTGACCCAAGTGTTTTAAGATTTTAGCTTGTCATTTTCTTTCTGTAAGGGCTCCAGTGATCTCAGAAGCACCCATCCCACCCATCTCTCAGTCCTTATAGTCAAAAAGTGGTTTCGCTCCTAGGTCCCCCAATCACTTCCAAAATCATTTTATTACAATCAATCAAAGGCAGTAATTTGATTAATAGTGATGCCAATACATGCCGTGGATTACTAGGACCTTATATCCTTCCTGCTGGCAAGGAGCTGAAGATGTGACCAGAGCACTCCTTGAGCCCATCTTTGAGAGTAACTCTCAAAGATCCCACTCTGAGTAACAATTTCCTTATTAATATCTTTTATAAGTCTAATCAGGAGACCAAAACCACACCGGTTATTTTGAGAATTTACTATGAATAATTGTTTACCGTATGTTGAAGAGCTGAAAAAGCAAAAAGGGGACAGTGAGTATCAGGGAAGTAGTACCAGAAGAAAGTAGCTATCACTCCAAAACAGGGATAGAGGAAAGAGAACTACTATAGCTGAGAAATTTGGAGGAAGGACTGCTATGGAGCTTGGACTAGGATCTCAGGAAAGGGTATTAATATCTTTGAAGGGGTGTGATAGGCTGATTCTAAGAGAGTAAATAACTACAAACTGGAAAAATTAGGACCACTGTGAGGCACTATCACTGTGGTGAGACAGACAAGAAAAAGAGTCACACAGGAAGCAGCAAGCCCTTTTGTCCTCTAGCCTTCTACTTTCCCTCCTCTGCTGCCAAAGCCTGCTAGGCAGCCAGCTAGCAAAGAAGAAATGTGGTTTAGAGGTTCTGCCCCAGATTCACAAGACAGCATCTAAAGGGGTGCTATGAAGCTGAGGGACAATTGCTTAATAATCTGTAGTCAAGAGGAAACAGGGAGCAGTTGCAGAGTCAGGGTCCCCGATTATTTGGATGTGTTAAAGGATGTATGGCATTTTGGTTTCCTTTCTGCACAGTGCCTGGCAAATATCAAGAGTTTAATAAACTTGAGCTATTAGAGCTCACAGAAACCACCATAGAGTTAAAGAGAAATACCATACTTCAGTGGCATGATTCTTTGCTATTGCTATTGGGATTCCAATATTCAGATGTTCCTATTCTTTCTCCACTCCCACACAGTGCAAGCAGACAAGGAGAACAGTAGAAAGAAGCAGTGGGAAAGAAAATCAGAGCAGTACTGAGGTAATGGCGAAGACAAAACCAGTAGGGATTATATTTGGGGGGGGAGGGGTTTAAAAGAAAAATGACATGGGTGAAAAGCACAGTGTGGATTCATGGGTTTACCATCTGTCTGGGGTACTATTAGAAAATTGTTTATATGAGATCTAGATGGTTTGCTTTGTTTCTACTCAATGACTCTGTTGCCTTGGCTTAAGTTAACAAATAAACATTAGTAAAATGTTTTATCTACATGGACAAAGCTAACTCCGATAAAGGGAATGGTTGGGTTAGGCTCAAGATAACTGGTTAGGCCCAAATCAGAATGAAACTGACTGGCACTTACATAGTCTTGGGGTCTCAGCAATGCTTAGCCCAGTCTTCCAAAAATTCTACAATTAACCTGGCCTTCCACCCTTCCAAAATCATATCTAAATGGAGTGGTTAGGTAATCATTAAGCTTTCAAAACAAGTCTTAAACTTGGCAGAGCCAGAATTTGAATCTAGGTCTGTATGACTCCACTGTCTCCAAAGACTGTCTCTTAACCACTACAAACATGAGGTACCCGACTACCCTCATCCACAGATGCTGCCATCATTATCACTCTAGCCCTTACTCATTTTCCTCTTCCCAATACTACAGATAGATATCTAAGAAATCTAATTAGTTGGCCTACAGAAAATTAAAATTTAAGGATATAATGCAATGATCAACTAGTTACCTATTTTCCTTAATGAAGGAAAATTTACATTCTTCTAAGAGAATAACACTAATATTATAGTGATTAAGAACCCCTGTGTTAAGATCGCTTTACTCACTTGGGCAACCAAGTTGCAAATTCCAACTGCAAACTTTCGTGAACAATAAACAGCAATAAAATTTGATGGATCAAGAATAACAAACTTCTCCCATCCATCCACAAACAAGGAGTTTTCTGCTCTACGGCTGGCAGGGTGAGGAGCGGTATGGAAATATGAAAACTGGGCTTAGTTTCTAAAGATGGCATGTAGTTTCAGAAATTAACAAAAGCTTGTTTCCTTTCTGCAAAGTAATTCCGTAACATGCGTTAAGGGATATTTTAAATTTGTTTTACACCGGCTGATCTATTCACTGACACGCTTCCTCTGCCCCCCAGCTCATGCTGTATCCTTGAAATGCCTTCCATTCTCTACCAGACACACTCAACTTCATTTATTTCTCAAAATCCTTATCCTTCAAATTTCAGCTCAAGGGGCAGCCCTGGTGGCTCATTGGTTTAGCGCCTGCCTTCGGCCCAGGGCCTGATCCTGGAGACCCGGGATCGAGTCCCACGTCGGGCTCCCTGCATGGAGCCTGCTTCTCCCTCTGCCAGTGTCTCTGCCTCTCTCTCTCTCTCTCTCTCTCTCTCTCTCTCTCTCTGTGTCTCATGAATAAATAAATAAAGTCTTAAAAAAAATTCCAGCTCATGTCTCTCTCCTCAGTGGATGAATTAGTACGACGGTTTCAAATAGCCGCATTCATAAGGCTTCTCTAAACATGATACGATGGCATCTCCTCAAGAGAGAAATTTTAGAGTCTCTGAGCTAGAACTGCTCAGGGATTACCTAACAGTCTATTCTCCTGGTCTCCACTGGGTAAACTGCCCCTACCCGTCAATGTGGTTTATCTCAAAGGTCTTTTCCGGCTCTGAAATTATGACTTTCACAGTTCCATCGACTAAATATGACTTCAGAAGGCGTGGAATGTATCTAGAAAGCATTCAATTCTCACACGGTAACGGAGTTCAGTTATAAGTTGCGCTGAAAGCTCTGAGGCCAAGCGCTCGGTTCTGCTCAGAACAACAGTCAACTGTGTTCACTGTCCAGGTCTGCGCGCTGCACCGCAGGTGACGGCCCCAAGCCTGCTGGACAAGCACTCTATACCTCGACGCCCGGACCAGGCCCGCACCGGCCGCCTTACCTTTGAGAAACAAAGCTGGGCGAAATACCTCATTCCGGCACCACCCCCAGATGCCCGCGGCGACGGCGACGGCGACGGCGACGGCCCAGGGATGCAGGGAGCAGCGATGCAGGTGCACACCGCAAGTCGCAGTCCTCCGGGAGCCGGTCGAGGTTCGCGCCACCGGCTCCCCCGCGGCCCCAGGAGCCCCAGCCCCGCAGCACCCGCGGCTCCGAAGCCCTCCCCGTCGCTGTTCTCCGCGACCCCGCTGCCCCAGCGGTCCGCCCCTACGTCCCTTGTTTCTAACCACGCGGTACTTACCATCCCAATACCAGGCCGGTGGTCACGATGAAGCAGGTAAAGACCACCGCGATGTAGAAAAGCGGCGAATACTCATACAGCGTAACCAGAAACACCGCAGCCATCAGGCTGTCCTAAACTGAGCCCAGCCCCAGCCGCTCAGCCCGGCCCCGCCCCGCCCCGCCCCGCCCACCCGGCCGGCGGGCTGGGGGTGGGGAAGCCACTACGGCGCCTCGGAGCTGACAAACTTTGCAGATACGCACTCGCCCCGGGTTCTCAGACTAGGCGACCGGGCGACCTCGCCGGCTGCGGGAGCCGGGCTGCCAATCACGACGGCGCCTGCAGGGCTGGCCCCGCCCCTCCTGCTCTCGTCCCGAGCCATTGGCTTGGCAGAGGGGCGGTGCCCTGATTGGACCCACGGGATTGGTACCCAGAGAGCATCTGTCTGTCCCTGGGGTCACGGCTTTTCTGCGGCAAATTCTAAAGAACCCCTCGCGGCCTGCTTCGCCCCAGGCTCAGGTAAGGTTTTCTGATGACCCAGAGAGGAGGCACGGCCCGAAATCCACGTCACAGAGTCTAAATCCCGCATATTGGATCCGTGGCAAATTTGGGACGAGGAGAAGAGAACCCGCCGGCATCATGGGTTCTACAAAGTGAAGCAACCCCGCACCTGCTCTTGTTTTATCTAGAAAAGTTACAATTAGACACGAAAGACCAACCGGAGTCTCACTAGCAGTGTATACGATTCTCGTCCGCCTTTTCAAGTTGGATTTCATGATAGAGGAAAATTAGCATAGATTCTCATAGACGTAAATCAACTGTCCTCCCACATCCTTTTCCTTTTCTGCTCCCCCTACGTTCCTCAAATTAGAATTAGATATTTGAACTTTTAAAAAAGATTTTATTTATTTATTTGACACACAGAGAGAGCACAAGCTGGAGGAGCAGCAGGCAGAGGGAGAGGGAGAAGGCGGCTTCCAGCAGAGCAGGGAGCCAGAAGGGTGGCTGGATCCCAGGACCTTGGGATCATGACCTAAGCCACCCAGGCGCACCAATATTTGAGCTTTTATGTATTAATTTTTACTTTAATGATAATTTTAGATATGTCTTATTATATATATATGGCTTAATTTATATATATTTAAATATATATCTTATTTATTTATATATATATAAAAGGCTTCTGCTCAAAAGGTATATATGTACCTAGCAGAAGCCTTTAGTTAGCCCTTAGGCCACATCCAGTTACCCCAGAAACAGGGAAATGTCTTTTTATTCTGAGCAGCAACACCCCCTGCTACAAAACAGGGTTTTGTTATCAAGGAAGAAAGGGACAGAAGGCTGCAGAATGGATAACCAACTAGTAGCCCCTCCACACTCCCAGATCACTAGTAAAATTAATGCTGGAGACAGATGAGCTAAATTTGTTCTATGGCTTCACATATCTCTTGGCAAATGACCACATATTGTGTACTCTCTGGAGTAGTGGTGTGTAAGCAGTTCAGGTCAACAACATACTTTTTAACAGCTACATTTATGATTTATGAAAGTATATGCTTTATCATTGGACAACTTTTTATTATTATAAACAACACTGCAGTGAACATTCTTAAAGCTAAATCATTTCCTTAGGTGAATTCCCAGAGGTGGAACTTTTAGTTCAAAAAGTATGTACATTTTAAGCCTTTAGGGAAACAATGCTCTCCAGAAATATTGTACCAATTTATGCTCCTACCCTTTCATCCTCAGTTTTGCGATCATTTGAAATTGTCACTTAAAAAGCTTGGCCAATGGGAAAGGCAATTTTATTGCAATAAACAATAAAGAGTTTTCATGATAAAAACAGGGAATTCCAAGTTAAAGTGGCATATTAAACATATGCCTGTAATTTTGCTCTCTCTCCAAACTCCACTAAAACTACAGTAAAGGGATGTAAAAAATAAATCAACAAGAATAGGAAATAAAATAGCAGCAGCACATATTGGAAGATGGAAAACAGCTGAACAAGGATAATTCACTAACCAGGCCATGAAAGTCAAATCCCAACCCAGCAGTATAGAAAACTGACTCAACTTGATTTACACTGAAGAACTTTTTTTTTTTTTTTAAGATTTATTTATTCACAAGAGACTCAGACTAAGACAGAGAGGCAGAGACACAGGCAGAGGGAGAGGGAGAAACAGGCTCTTTGCAGGGAGCCTGATGTGGGACTCGATCCCGGATTCCGGGATCACAACCTGAGCCAAAGGCAGGCACCCAACCGTTGAGCCACCCAGGCATCCCTACACTGTAGAACTCTTAAAAAAGAACAGGAACTAACACAAATTTAACTCAAGACTTTATCTCCCTTTTGGATATTTGCTACCATTCAAACTTGTCACTTTACTTCCAACATTGGTTCTTTCTAACACATAATACATGATACATGATTTTTCAGGCAAAAATTATTTTTAGGGCAGCCTGGTGTAGCGCCGCCTTCAGCCCAGGGCTTGATCGTGGAGACACGGGATCGAGTCCCATGTCGGGCTCCCTGCATGGAGCCTGCTTCTCCCTCTGCCTGTTGTCTCTGCCTCTCTCTCTCTCTCTCTCTCTTTCTTTCTCTCTCTCTCTCTCTGTGTCTCTCATAAATGAATAAATAAAATATTTTTAAAAATTATTTTTAACATGTATCTTTTATTTTAAAACATACCTTATTTCATTATACCACCCCAAATCCTTGATTGCCATGCTATATATCCTTGAGGATGAAGTGCCAGGTTCCTTGTTTGACATACCCACCTCTACATGATCTGACTCCTACTTACCTCTTACTCATTCAGAAAATGTTTGCGGAGTGTGAAGCCACTGTAGATGGCTTCAGAGAAACAATAATAAGCAAAAAATGACATATTTATGTTCTCATGGAATTTATCATCTAATGGAAAAGACAAATAGAATCTAGAACAAAATATAAAGGCAAAATTATAATAAGTGCTATTAAAAAGAGGTACATGGACATATGAGAGCATATAATGGGAGAATGGTGAAACAAGGAAGATCAGGGATGCCTGGGTGGCTCAGGGGTTGAGCATTTGCCTTGGCTCAGGTCATGATCCTGGGGACCTGGGATCGCATCCTGCATTGGCTTCTCCCTCTGCCTATGTCTCTGCCTTTATCTCTGTGTCTCTTATGAATAAATAAGTAAAATCTTAAAAAAAAAATAAAAGAGACAAGAGAGACTGCCCTCTCTATACAGGTGTATACAGAGAATAGTCCATGTGGGACACAGGGAGAAGGCAGCTGTCTGCAAACCAAGGAGAGAGTTCTTTCCAGAAAGCCTGCTGATACCCTGATCTTGGACTTCTAATCTCAAGTCTGCCTGACTATCATAATACAGGGAGTGACATTCTGTTTGCATTTTCAGTCACTTAGGCTATTGTGTAGAAAACTTATTGGAAGGAAGCTGGGTTGGATATGAGTGAATATGGGGATATCAATTAACAGATTCTTTAAAAAGTCTAAGCAAGAAGTACTGGTAACTCTGATAAAGATAGTGACAAGGATTTGCAGTCAAGTGGATTATCAGTTAGAAATCATTGCACTTGTAAGTGACAAAACCCGAAACAAAATAGTAATTCACTTGAGATAGAGATGTATTTCTATTTTAGATGAAAGTCTAGAGGTAGGTCAATGCAGGACTCCACAGCACAATGCAGGATTCAGGCTTCTATTTTTGCTCTACCATATGTAGCTCCCATTCCTAAGGTTACCTCATAGTTCAAGATGCTTGTTGAGCTCCAGCCATCATTTCTATATTCTTGCTAGCAGGAAGGAGGAATGAGAGGGAGAATGAGACATCACTCCAGTTTAAGGAAACTCTAGGGATACACCACTCATTCCATTGGCCACAACTCAGCCTCATGTCCACCTTTAACTGGAAGGGAGGCTAGAAAAATACAATCTTTGTTCAGGGCAGCCACCTCTGCTGTTGAACACTATGGCTCTTGTTCAGGGTGGTGCAGAGCCAAATGCAAATTCTCTCTCTCTCTTTCTCTCTCTCTCTCTCTTTTTGTTAAGGGGACAGAGGAAGAGAATCTTAAGCAGGCTCCATGCTGGGGCACTGAGCCCAACAGAGGACACTGGGGCTTGATCTCACAACCCTGAGATCCTGACCAGAGCCTAAATCAAGAGTAGATGCTTAACTGACGGCCTCCAGGCATCCCTCCTCTCCTTCTTTCTTCCCTCCTCTCTTTCTTTCTTAAATGGAAAATGGACTACCAATTCCAGGCTCTTCAGCTTCTCCAAGACCAGACCTATCTGGATGCTTTACTGCAACCCTCAGCCCCCACTGCCTTCTCATCCTGAGACTGCAGCCTGGAGGGGAAGCCAGAACAGAAGTACAGTGCTGCTTGCTGTACTTAGTCAAGCCCCGCCTTCCTGCCCTTCCAGCACATTGGAAGGGAAAGACTTCCCCTCCTTCCCATGCGGCAGATACTTGCCTTCTGCCCCAGCCTCGGTTTCCTCTACCACATGGCATAGACTAAATGCCACTTGTAATTTTGCCATGGTCTGGATTTTGAAATGTTAACAGAGCTTTAATTTTTTAAAAAGATTTTATTTATTTATTTGTGAGAGACACATACAGAGAGAGAGAGAGGCAGAGAGGCAGAGACACAGAGGGAGAAGCAGGCTCCATGCAGGGAACCCGATGTGGGACTCAATCCCGGATCTCCAGGATCACACCCTGGGCTCAAAGTGGCGCTAAACCACTGAACCATCCAGGCTGCCCAACCCTTTCATTTTATATGGTCTTTCTATAGCCTACAGTATTTCTTGGAAGAGCAAATTTACGTCTATTTTGAAGATACCAGTAGGAACATCATAAGCATCATAACTCTGAGTTTTAAACTTTGAGACAACTATTGTACAACAGAACTGAATGAATGTCTGATTGGGTATGATCCCATAGATGACAGGAATTATGAAAAATCTTGAAAGTAGTACCTTGGCAGAACCTGATTCTTGGCAGCCCATTGAACTTCCAACTCCCTCTAGTAAAAACTTCTTATGGTCTAAGCTATTTGGCTTCTGTCATCTATATTTGGAAGCTCAGTCCAACTGAGATGACACTGATGATTTATGTGGTACACAGTCTGTGGCCCAAA